AGCCACCTCCAGCCACTCAGTCCCTTCTCATTTTATCATAGATATTTTTAGTAAAAACAGGGGCAGGTCATCAGGCTTCTGTGACTTTTCCTGATTGCCTCTGACTTATCTGTGACTTTTACTAAAAATGGCCATGACAAAAATCTTAGCCTTACTCATGGCTCACAAACAAGTCCCTGCTGTTGTAGCCCAATGAAGCTGGCCACCTCCAGCCACTCAGTCCCTTCTCATTTTATCATAGATATTTTTAGTAAAAACAGGGGCAGGTCATCAGGCTTCTGTGACTTTTCCTGATTGCCTCTGACTTATCTGTGACTTTTACTAAAAATGGCCATGACAAAAATCTTAGCCTTACTCATGGCTCACAAACAAGTCCCTGCTGTTGTAGCCCAATGAAGCTGATCAAAAATTTTCCAGAGCAACAGTTTTCTGTTGGAAAAGGCTGATGTGACCAAGCCCCAGTGTTTCATGGAAATCTATTCTTTAGCCAAAGATTTTGGTGAAAAAAAATGAAATACTTAGTTTCAGTTAAAATCAAAACCAAGTGCTTTGACCTATCATTTGGACTTTTATAGCATGTTAAGTGGAAATAAAGCACTAGACTGGATGGAATTGGGATGACTCACTGCTGAATTAAAGCAGCAGCTAACTCTTTTAAGAGTGGGTTTGGTTTTTTTCAATCAGTAGCACAGGAACAACTCAGATGGGACAGGAAAGCATCTGACCAGGAGCCCCTGCCATTCTCCAGGCTCTGCACCTTTTCTGGGTCTGCTGGGGAGAGAGGTGAAGAAGAGTCTTAGCCAAGAACTGCAGACAGAGGGAGTTCCATGTGCGGAAAGAAGGAGCCAGTGAGACAGCAGGTACATCTGCTGGGATTACACTCCCCAGCTCAGGTGTACAGGCCAGCTAGCTCTGCTCCAACTAATGCACCGAAACAGCAGCATGGTTGTGGCGCCCAAGTCTGCACCTGGGTATCTATTGGTTTGGGTGGCCCAAGATGTCACCCATGCTGCCATGGCCACACTGCTGTTTTTAGCATGCTAACTTTGAGCAGAACTAACAAGCCTCTAACAACACTGAGAAGAGCCCTCCCAGCTGCAGTGCGGACGTACCCAAAGGAGGACATTAAGACACAGACCGAAAAGGAAAGCAGTGATTGTTGGAGGGCAGACACTTATTTTCCTATTGCACCATGTAAAAGTATGCAAGATGGAGTTAGTTTCCAGCTATTCTGAGCCCAGAGTCCATTTACTATGAGGCTGTGAGCCCTCTACTCAGCATCTTTTTGGCCAGTTAAGGTATTGCTGGTGCTATTGCCAAAAACAAAGCCATGGATTAAGAAAACATTGCCAGGCAATGCTTGATGTGAGGACTCTGCTCCAGACAGATAGCAGGAATTCCAGGCCACAAGACATGGGGTATTTGTAGGGCAACTGGAGGCATGGGCTTCTCCTGGGTTTACAGTGTAGATAAGAGCATCCTTCAAGCTCAGCTATTCCAGGCCAAACTGAGACCCCCAGACACTTTTAAACAGACTACAAAATCTTTTTACTTGTTGTCATTATTGTTACTGCGATGGGGGGGAAAATGTCTCTATTGAACTGGGACCCAACAACAACAACAACAAAAAAAGATAACTGGCTACGCCTGCCCCAACCCCGAAGGGGAGGTAGTACATTTAAGCAGAGAATCAAGCTCCTTTGAAGGAGCTCTCTGCCACATGTACCACCTTTCAATGAGAAGCTAAAAATGACCATGCTGTGGATTTAGACCCCAGTCTCCTAACGGGATTCTCTAGAAGCTTAAACTTTCACCATGCCCCAAGACTTCACTGGTCCATGCAAGCAGATGAGTCCCCCACTCTCCTCCCAATCCCCGAAGCATTTCCAGGAGCTCTCCCTCTCCACCGAGGGGAGGGATTCCCTGAAGCCAGCAGAGTCCAAGCTCCACAGCTCACAGCTGAGCTCTCCAAACCTTCTGGCAGCAAATCTGTTTCTAAACCAACAAGGTGCTGTTACATTGTTCACAGTTTCCTGACTCTTTTATTCTTGGGCAGATGCCATTGCTCTGTAATCCAGCTGAGCTGTGACTGGACTAATCTCCATGGAGAATAGGGAGGGATTATTGGCGCGGTTTTCTCCCATGAGCATGATGACTGACACACCCAGCATGGGCACTCGCTCCGCCCCTTAGGTGCATACTCCAAGCTCCCCAGGTACCCACACATGGAATGCCAGAGGAACTTCTTTGAATGTCTCTTCAAGATGGTGCCACCACAGCTTAGCCCCTCTTGATCGTATTCATGCAGACCCAGAGAAGAGAGGCTTGCAGAAGTGCCCTGGATTTATGCTAGTTCTGGGCCCTATCACCATCTGTGCCTTTGTCACTCTTGGCAACCCCACATCCGATTGAGAGTGCATGTCCATATCCATCTCAGAGATTCTCATGCCCTGGAGAAGAGAGGAGAAGCTGTAGGGCCTGCTACAGCCCTTTATGTGGTTACGGGAGGGGAATGCCTAAGGAATGCCCAAGGGGAAAAACAGCACAGGCCCATTCATCATAAACTTGGAGACTGCAAGCGAGGTCCCCCAACCCGAGGCCTGTTTCTGCTTTCTGAATGTTCTGGAACATCCTGGGCCTCCTCTGTGGTGCCCTGATAGGACTTTGTCCCAGTATTTATCATCTTGCTGTGGATCAGCTGCCTTCCACGCCAGCCAAATAGGGCCAGGTTAGCCCTGGGAAGCACGTGGCAGACTACCATGAAGCATGGCATGAAGGACAAGGCAGGGCTCAAAAATGCTCATGGCCCAGGAAGGCAGCAAAGTGGACATGACCAGGGTTGGGTTTTGAAACTTGTTTGTAACGTAAAAAGCGTGAGAGTTGGCTGGAGCCCTCATCCTGCTGCTGTCAGTCTCCTGGTTAATCTGTCACATCAGAAC